GATGACATTGTGTACTACATTATGATTATAAATCAACATTCAAACATATCCACTTGAACAAAATTGCCACTCATTAAGTATGAGATTCTGTGTTTGTTAACTAAAGTGAATAGAGTTTTATGCCTTTGTAGATTGATTGTGGATTTTAATTCCCCTTTTTGTTTTCCAAAGTTACAGTTCACTGTTGAATCAGCTGATAACAGCACGACCCCATCAGAGTGGTTTTGGTGATTTGCAGGTGAAAAGAGACAATCGAGCATGGCATTTGAGGACCCTATTTTCAACATAGAACTGGCTCTATGGGATCTCCTGGACCATTTTCTTGCAGGAAAACACTTAAAAAATGAAATCTTAAAGATCCATTAAAGTAAAATACACAAGATTTGCAAGTGAGGAGACACTGCAGTAAATATTGCTTGTTAATTTCCACCTCAGACATAACTCCAATGGATCTAAAGGAATCTGCCTGTAGTGGCATAGTTGCAAAATACACCACCATTGCCTGACCCTCTGTTCGAAAAATACTACTTGCCCTATCTATAACCAGTGTTTGGTGTATCTGTTCTGGATGAAAACATACCTGGGTATATTATATTACATTTTTGCCAATAGTTCTTCCAAAATGTTTCTCACTGGACCTTTAACCCTGCTTAAAGTGACATTTAAAAATAAAATTAAGGATGTATATGTTCATGGTTCTTCACTTGTGCTCCCTGTTCCAATCCTCACTTCAAATGCAGAGACCAACGGACCAACTAGGGGATTCAATTCCCTCTTGACCTCTAGTTCTGCAAATCTATATGCATCCCCCGCAAAGGTGCTTTAGATAAAACAGCAAAAGTTCTGCATGGCAGTGCGGAAAGGTTACACAACAGCAAATCAGGGATCGCTCACACTCCGCTCTGCTCAATCAAGTCCTTTCTCTCTCTTTCTTTCCTCTCCAGTGCCTTCAACACCTTCTCTCGCTGCTCTTTCTCAGTGTTCCTGAAACAATATCCCACATATTTGTTTCTTTTCTCACCCTTTTCGCCATTGATTCTCTTTTCTCTCTTTTGCATAGTCTGACCTATATTGATCCCCCCCCCATGTCCTCCTTGCACTTTGCCTCTTACACTTTATTTCTCATGTTGCACATTCCTTTCCTCTCTTCTCCCTCCTTTCTTTCCCATCCCCTTTTCATTTACAGAGATTGGATTCCCTCGCTTTTCCCCCTTCGTTTCCTATGGTTTCCTCTCATTTCCCAGATTGCTCCACACTTTCCCTCCAACATTTCTCTCTGTCTCATCCCCTCACTTCTTCATCAAACAAACAGCTACATTATTGAGCATGGGAATGAGAGAGTCAGAGGGAGCACGAGGCCCTGTGGGTTAATCCATCTCCTATATCTACCAATCGCAGCGCTGCCCTGTCCTTATCTCTGGGCCCTGGTTGGGCGGAGGAGCTGTCCATCAAACTATATTGGGGTCCGGATGATTGTGCATGCAGACAAGCAACCCTGCAACACCCTCTCCATCTCAATCACACAGGCTTGGCAAGTGAACACACACACACACACACACACACACATATATATGCACACACAAACAACCAGCATGCACATAACACTCACTCTTGCTTTTTTCTGACTAATACACACACTCACACACACTCTGAAAGAGACTTGGGAAGCTAACGAGCATGTGACATTGAGAAGGGTGAACAAGGCAACACACACATACACACACACACTACATCTGTATGCATAAATCAATAGACGTTCTATGGCTGCATTTACTAAGGTCAAATAGGGCTTGGACTGACGGGAAATAAGAGGACAGTGTGTGTGTGTGTGTGTGCGTGTGCATGCGTGCGCGCGTGCGTGTGTGTGTGTGTGTGTGTGTGTGTGGGCTACGCGTGGGTGGTATAACGGACAGACTGAGAGAGAATAATGAAAGCATCTCTGAAAGGAAAGGTTGGGAGGCTGAGGAGGCGAGAAGAGCGTAAAAAAGGAAGATGAAAAGGAGAGATGAGCTGAGCGAGGAGGAGAGATAAAGTTATGAAGAGAAGGAGACGGGGCGGATAGATAAAGGTGGAGGAGAAGGAGAGGCAGGCATGGAAGAGCAGAGCAGCTAAATGGAGGCTGCAGCGAGTGGAGGTCAATAGGGGAGATGATGGAGAGATGAGTAGGAGGAGGGAAGGAAGGACGAGAGAGGGCAAGGAAGGGGCCGTGAACCCATTTGCTGAGCTCAGGTGTTTTGGTGGCACTGTCATGTCTCTAAAACAACAGACTGTTTGATTTCTCTACTGCTTTGAAAGGCTGGCCCGGGTCAGAGAGCGTGACTGGCATTTATTTTTCCGCTGCTGCACCGTTTTCTTGTCACTGACGAGGGAGGGGATTGTGCCACTCAACGTGGTCTCGGGTCACGCTGGAGGGCTTTTCAAGCAAAATCTTTCACAAACTGGCTTATGCTATTTTTACATTTTAAGTCATCATTTCTATTATTATGTTTTAAATCTCACTCAGAAACTTTATTGCTGAGATCTGGAACACCAGTAGACACAGCTTAAACACGAGTGTAAACAAATCACCAATTTCACTACTTATTTGGCAACAGTTTGTCCAAAAATAGTCACATGTATCTCATTTAATCAGCAAATATATGTTTTATAGGAGACATATACCACTCACATCCCATTTTTTTTTATCATTTATCAACGTTCTCACTGGATTTAGAAACTTTTAAGACCCTTTAAATGACTTTAGGGGGAAAAAAATGTAGCAGTTCTTTTGGCAGAGTTTAACTCTTTAACTATTTCTCAGTAAATGTGTTCTTTTGCGCTCTGGACTGACTGTGCTCAGTGAGTGGAGGAGAGCAGCAGCATGTTCGGCTGACCAATCAGCAGCCAGACAGAAGCGTGAATGGGCTGGGAAAGTTGCGTATATAACAATCACTGATCCACATTGTTAGTCTGAGGAAGTCCTTCTCTTCTTATATTTTCACTTAAACATTTTTAAAACGTTATCTTTTTAAATAAATAATTACATAGGGACCTCACTGATATGCAAATTAGTATGTGGTATGATCTAGTGACATCTAGCAACGTTTCAGGCAGGGTTTAGTTTATTTGCATGGTAAACACTGTTGGTATTAACTGTTTCGTTCATGCTCCTTCATCAGCTGCTTGGCTGTAGACTAGTAACATCCAGTCATATTGATGTAGGTGTACACTGCTGTTGTAGTCACCAACTCAAAATACTAAAAATAATGATCTTGGCTAAATAATGGTACAATGGTGGCGATAGGGTTATATTTTCAATTGAAAATTGTAATTGTAACATTTCTGTGTCATACACTGTAAACTGGACTTTTAAAGGTATCATCAAAATGGTAAGTCACAGTAATTTAACATACTGTTTGCTCGGTGTGAATTTGGAAAAGGTTTTGGTCCTGACTTTTACAGAAAAGACAAATCTGTTGTAAGTCAGGGTGAGTGTCTCCAACTTTATAAACAGTAACATGAACATCTTAGAAAGCATGTCTTCTATCACCTTTTGTGTTTACTATGCAAAAATGACATTACCATGTCACTCAGCGATTGAACTGTTTGCTCCAACAACATGCAGACAGCAAACAGATAGCACACAGACAGTGTATTTTATTTATTCATACCCAGTTTTTTTTTTCCTCTTTTGAATTATAGTCCCGATGTTCACGACAGAAACAACATGTTTTTGAGAACAGTAGGTGGGCAAATGTGCATTATTGAAGACAAATGGAATGTTGGGTGTTTATACCACTATAAAGGCACAGTGGTGGGCACCTACATCAACCACTGGAGCGCAAAAACACTGTATCCTTTTGTAATCTCTTTCGGAAGCTGAAAGAGAACTAAATTATTACATTCTGAGCACACTGAGTTCCAACTTTTTTAAGCCTATGATTGTGGCTGTTCTTCAAACTAGACGGAACAGACTAAAGGTTACATAAAAAATTAAATATTGAATAAAGTTTGCCTTACACAAATTGCAAGAATACAAAATAAAGTGGTTAACCTCTGCAGAGACACCAGTGTTTTATGTACTGTAAAAAATGTTATCAGTAGTAGGCTAAATATGGCCTCCAAGGTTGTCAGACTTTTTGAGACTGATGAATATGAGAGAGAAAAGGCTCAGAAAAGCCAATTATTTACGTCTGAATATGTTCTTGTCAGATGAAAATGTTTTATGGCCACATAGTCCTGGAAGATGTCTTCACACATCTTAAAGCCATCATACGGGCAAAAAGAGAATAGGCTCGTTAATTTCTTAGCTGGATTCAAACTGAATTTCCAATTTTTGGCCCTTGGATCTGAGTATCTGAAGTTATTAACAGTTTACCAGCCAACTTTCCCACCTGGTGACTTGATTCTTCTTATGTTTTTAGCTGATGGCCCAATGGGTGAAAATAATATTACTCTGATAAACATGCAGTTACAATAGTGTGATGATGTTTTTCAGCAGAAGTTGTATGGTGGGTTGATATCAGTTTGTCTAAAAATTCGATAAAGAACATACGTGAGTGTGGAGGATCTGGAGTTGTTTAGCATGTGACTGTGCATGTAACAAAAGTAATATGTTCTAAGTAACTTTTTCTGCTCAGTAAACCATGAAGTCATGGAAAGTCATGTACTTGCTCAATGAGTAATTCATTTTCCAACTAAAACCATGTCTATGTTTGTCTCCCCCGGTATGTCTATCCTCCATTACCTCTAGACACGCTCTAATATTGTGTGTGAATGAAATTGTAGTTGTCAATTGTAAGTGCAAGAAAATTTCAGCTGAGTGGGCAGGTCGGACGAAAGCATTATTACACTTACAAAACTCATGTAAGTTGACATTTAAAGTAAACTGTTGCCAAGAAATCAAGTTTCTAAGGCAACAGACTTCCATTTTATCCTGCTGGTGCCTGGTGAATGACAGGAAGCACAGTGAACATTTAATGCTGCATTGATATGAAAACACTTCAACTCTGACACAGTCAAACAAGAAAAAATATTTTTATTGTTGCTATGATGTTTTAGCTTGCACTGTAGACACTGAAGACAATAACAGCAGTACTGGGAAGGAAACTGACAACTCTAAGACACTGTATCCAAATCAGATTGGGTGAGATTATGTCAAAGATTTAAATGAAACAATCTCACGATATGTGAAGCCTAACATGAGGACCTCTCTAGCCCAGCATCAGGGCACCTACACATCGGTGCAGTGAAATCTAAATCTCTTTGGCCCACTTTGAGAGTTATAATTTTAGATGCAGCACTGCAGCGAGGTGCTAAAGCCAAAGGCCTCTTCAAGTGCCAGTGAGAGGCAGATGAAAGAGCTGCATCGAGCAGAAAATAAAGATTAGCTTGGAATAGGAGTTACATTCAGATAAATTAGATCTGTGATCAAACTCATAACAATAGTTGGGTTATAGTTATACTTTACAGTCTTTATTTAATATACAATTAAAATTACACTTTGAATCATTTGTGCCTCTCTGCAATAATGCTGCATAATTCTATTATTGTAGACAACTGATGCACAGTGTGTATGTTGCTTTACATGTATCTGTTGAGGATCATCAAACATGTATGACGAATGCATATCCAGTGTTGTTTGATAAAGCCTAACAGTATCACAAAGCAACTCCTGCTCTTTTCTACCTGATTTCATGCATTCTTGGCGTAATCTTTAACAGTCCAGTATAGATTTGAGAATGCTGAAATAAAACTCTTTTAAAGGACACTTCACCTACAAACAACACAGTTTTAGCTTTGTTAAAAAATGAAGCAGTTTCTGACTAACTGTAGTGATAGTGTCAAAAGGACAAATCCTGGAGCTTTTCCACAAACTGTAAATAATGAAACAGCGGCCTGGACACTGAATGCACCCATAGTGAATTTGGCAAATGGGAACATTTTGTAATTCAGAGCTGGGAGCCTGAAGTTCATATATATTTTAACTCAATAGAATGGCTCCTCATGACATCATCGGTGTATGTCTTGATAGTTGATTTGGGGCTTTTGATTTTCCCTCTTGATTATGCAGAAAGAGTTGCTTTATCCTCCTGATGCTGAAGGCAACAACTGACCAACTGACATAGTGTACATCCAAAACAGTTTGTTCTATTGACTATGATTGTAAGTAGAGATGTTCTCCCCTTAGGAAGAAATTATATTATGAAATTGAGCATGCAATGGACTGGGTGAACTGCAACAGCCTTCTCTTCAAGTACATTCACACTTAAGAGTTGCAAGTTCACTCTCCTCTCGCCAGTTATGTTGTTTGGGAAGTTGAAGCCAAGTGACAGTGAAAGGCAGAATTCTGAAGTTGTTGAGGTTAGTTTGACATATCTGAATGATTCCAATTCAAAGGTGTTGCTATGATCTTTCACAGGGAAGCCTCCTTTTCCTAATCACATCATCTGAAAAAAAAGCAATTTTTTTGACAGTGGTAAACATTTGAGCACAGTTTTTGGAGCGTCTATAATTGGACAACAGAAAAACTTTGCAGTGATTAGTTCTTTTTAAAAAAACAGCACATTCTATTTTATTTGTATTTCTTTTTTTATCACACAGAACAATTTAATACAATAATGAAAGTAGTTGTTGGGTTCAAAAATAATGGAATTAATTGCAATTCTTGCAAAAATACACAGAAAGAGAAGACAAACAGAGACAGGAGGAGACAAAGACAAAATGCATTAAGATAGTATGAGAGAGAGAAAGAACACGTTAAGAAGACTACAGCCAGCGGCTCTGTGAGGCTGGAAAAGTGTGTTTTGAGCTAAATGCTAACATCAGAATGTTAAGATGCTCAGAAGGACAATGCTAACATGCAAATGTTTGGCAGGTACAATGTTTACCGTGTTAATGTACAGAGTATCTTTGTCATAAATCACAATATTTTACCCTGATGATGGCATCAGATGAAAGAGAATGGGATCAAAGTTATGCAGGCCTCTGGGGACCATTGATGTATGCGCCAGATTTCAGGGCAACCCATCCAATTGCTGTGGATAAAAACTGTCAACCTGCTGGTGGCACAAGAGGAAAAGTCAAGTTACCAAAACAATTGTAAAGCAGTGTATGCGAAACATGAATGTGAAAACTCTGACCTGCTGTGAAGGAAGATTCTGCAGATCAGTCATTTGAATGTGTCCTCCATGGGCCTTGACTATATCTAGTACATTTCATGATGATCCATTCTATAGTTACCAATATATTTCACTCTGAGCCACAAATCTAAACTTTCTACTGTTGGACCTTTGAGCTACACTGTGCAGAATGATCAATGTGCAGAGTTTGACAATATAAAAACGTTTTCACATCGATCTGCTCGAAGTGGAAAGTTTGTCTGAGCTTACTTAAAATCGGATTTTACAGAGCGGGGCCTACAAGCATGATCTGTGATTTGAATAGTTTGTAAGTCAAACCTGATGCAAATTAGGTGTGATGCAGAAACTTGAAGCCATAAGTGCACACACTGGTAATGGTGAAGTGAGGGACATCTTGTGCCCAGCAGGAAAACTGCAGAAATTAACTAAATGTGCATATTCATAGATTATGGAATTTTTAATGAGGTAGAAGGAGAAGTAACCTTTATAAGGACTTAAATGTGGCATTTGTACTTTTTTGTGGAAAAAAACACAAACTGACTATTTGCATATGTCGCAATACATGCCCCCTCCAGACATATATTGCGACATATGCAAATAGTCTGTCTTTGTTGCACATTTTAGATCTCTAAGTATCTCTTTATCATCTTAATACAGTTAATCATTTGATTTGCCCCTAGTGGTATCTTTGTCTAATATGTTTAATATTGTGGTCCTTGATGTGTTCATGGCACTTTGGTGCAATTACATGGCTCAAGTGAAATGTGTACAAGATTCTCAAATTCATAAATTGGCACTTGTCGACAGCGATCATTTGCCATGGCTAGCAGTCAATATTGGTTGGATTGTTTACTATAGTTAGCCTGCTGGCTAGTTAGCTTGCTAGCAAATCCAAAAGCCAACTGTTTGTTGACACTGGGCTGACTGTTCTCAAGCTACAGCAGATTTGGATACAAATAACATATTGAATTTGTGCAGCGTGTGTTAATTTGACATTAAAATACTTTTTCTATTCCCTGAAGATAATAAACACACTGTTTCTGTAACTCACTGTTTACCATCTGATTTAGTACACGCTTACTTTTGTTCAAACTCTAGAAAGAGCAGAAGTATTTTTCTACATTTAAAGAGCACCCTGGGTTTTAACCCTAATTACCACTGAAACATATAGGATGCTGAGGTCACAGCAAAGCGCCTCCACAAATACCACTACACTGCTGAGAGAGGTTTTCGTCATTTCCATTGAGTGGTGTTTATACAGTCTAACATGCATCTCAATGAATCACTGTGGGTTGAGTGCAGAACATTAATTTATATGGAAATGTGTCTTTTAGATCGCTGTCCTTATACGGACTAAGATTATTTTGTGATATACATATCAGTAGTGTGACCAGTGCTTCCATATTCACACTCTTTATCTCCTCTCTCCCACACACATTTCTTTTATGGAGGTAGATGTTTGCATGCATACAAAAAACTTTCTTTGACACAATTTTCTAATACGTTTCAGTCACATCAGTCTCATGGATCACATCATTTTGGCCTTTTCTGTATTTTTTTTTCAGTTTTCTTTGTATTTTTTTTCTTGGCCTCACACACACACACACACACACACACACACACACACACACACACAACACATTTGTGGTGGCACATGTAGATGAATCAGAGTTATGGCTCTACAAATGTTTATTCAGCCTCTTTCTTCTGAAAAGACTTTCACGAATACATACACACATATTCAGAACACACAAACACCCACCACTCGGGATAGAGACGCAGTTTTTATGTGGACAAACACAAACATTGGTGACGCCATGGCAACGGCTGCGAATGTAGATGCAGTGGCCGGTAGGTCCTTCAAACTTGCTACATTTTTGTTTCAAATCATGTTTCAACGCTTTATTGCTGAAAATATGATTAAATGATTGGTTGCAGTAGATTTTAACCATGGCAACGGCTATGTTGTTTATATTCGTACATCAGCTGAATATACGAATATTTGTGTTTTGTTATCTAGAGACGCTACTAGTTAGCTGGGTTATACCCATATGTATGTATATAAACAACTTTATATATTGTTTTATTTGTTTTTATTGAATTTGAATTATATTTTTGTATGTGTGTAGTGTGAATGCACTGCAAACTTTCATAGCACTAGTGTGTGCGTTCCCGCACATAGACTGACGCATACGCATTCTTAAACAAACGCACATCAACAGGATTAGCTAACGTCATACGCTCATTGATTTTGCCACATCATCTGCATATTCCAGCACGAAAAAAAAAACACAGACTATGATGTAAAATTTATCATGCATGAAACTGCTTTCCTGGGGCTGTAAAAGGCAACAGGGCAGCAGAGAGATAGATAAAAAGGGGGATTAAACATACGCTATGTTTGACTGTATATGATCTCTGTCTACAATGATCTGCATATGTAGCTAATGGATATGTAGATGTATGTGTGCATAGATCAGATACTTGTAATATACATTCCAGAAGCACATGCTCCAGCACTGTGTGCACAGGAAAAAGAGGAAAACAATCTCTCAAAGGGATTATATTTTGCTATTTTCCAAGGTGTAATCTACGTAGGATTCAATTTCATTTAGGTTTCTGTAAAATTACATACATTTTTGAGGTATTTGTGTATTTTACTTGCCTATTTCTATTTTCCCCTCATTAATTATTTAATACATCAAACATGTGAGTATAACTGTATCCATGTATGTAAAACGAACCTCACAGCAGTGACAGTGGCTGTCTAATGGGATCACAGCAGATGTGATGAAATCATTTATGGCAGATCCTGGGTCAGTTTTCCATTATAACATTTAGTTTTGAGAAATGTCTGTCTCTTTAGCTGCTTTGGTATGTTCACAAGTTAGTCCCACAGTGGGTTTATTGGAGCTTTTTTGCTAAAAACAGCTGCCTGTTGCTACTGGAAACTGAAACAGTAAAGTTGCAAGCCTTCAAAACCAAGACAATGCACTTAAGATAGAAGAACATAAAAGATGTTAAAATGCTTTTTTAGATCTGTAGAGTCAAATGTTACCTCTCTGTGGGATTGTCACTATGTGCAACACTTTGTTTTTGTTACCTTAGAATGAGCTGTTTTTATCTAAGACGACACCGGTTTCTTCCATGGAGTCCACCATGTTGAACCACCATGTTTTTTCACATTGTTGGTGAGTTTTGCGGCCACCGTAGTTTATCCAATGCATTTCAGGCCGTTCTCATTCCCTGGTTGTCAAACACAGATGCGAGTGGTGTTCAGTTAGTTGCAATCTAAATTCTACTCACTGGTCCTCTAAGTTAAAAATTCAAATGATGTATATCTCATGGGGATTTTTTTATGCTGTGTTCTAATTCATCCACCATGAGCCTACGGTTAAAAGATAAGCACAACCAATGGAGGATGCAAATTCATATTAAATCACAGACAGGAGAAAGATAACAGCTTTCAGGATATGTTGTAATTCCGTGTGTTTGGATTACATCATGTTGTAAAAAGACAATAGATTAAAGATCGTCATTATACAGCACATCAGAGGATGAGCTACGGGGATACAAGAGAAAGAGAATACTGAATGAATGAGAATGAAAGATGGAAGAAAGGAGGGGAAGAGAGAATAAGAGGAGCATTGGAGGACAGCAGTGAAACGGTAATGTGAACTGCCTCTATGAAACACAGAGAAAAACAGTTCCATGCACACAAGAGTCCCTGTTCTCATGCGCACAGCTTTCACGGGTGGGCATGAGCATAAAAACACACACATAGATGCAGAAAAACATTAAACATACACACACAGCATTTGGAAGCTTGTATAATTTTCTCTGTGGGTGTCAATTAAATCTCTCAGCTCCGTCAACAGCACACACACACACACACACACACACTCGTTCTCTTTCAACAGCTAGTGCATCGTCAACACCGGCTGGCTTGGCAAGCAAGAGAGAGAGAGAGAGTGACAGAGAGAGAGAGAGAGAGAGAGAGAGAGAGAGAGAGAGAAGGAGAGAGGAGGTGTTGGAGAGAGAGAAAGAGAGATAAGTGATAGAGAACTCGTAATATGAGAGCATGAAAGCACTGCAGGTAAGGAAACACTGTGGTTATCACACACACACACACACACACACACACACACACACACACACACACAGATACACACATTGGTCTTATTTCATGTTTTTTTCTGGGTTTGAATGCTGAAAAGGCCAGTATTGATACTGGCAAATGAGCAAAGGTATTTATTCTCTCTCTCTCACACACACACACACACACACACACACACACACACACACACACACACACACACACACACACACACACACACACAAAACAGAAGTCATTACATCACCAGACACAAACCAGCGGATTAAAATGTATCTAACAACATAAATGTTATCCATCGCAGTTAGTAAGATCCTAGTGGCTACGTTAATGTATGACTGACTGAACAAACAGCAGTGCTTTGGGGCAAACAACATACACTGTATTCCCTACACTCTGGAACTAGTTCTGGTAACTGTTGTGTTTACTGAGACACGTTACATAATGCAGCACAATGCAAAACACATCTTGTGAGTGGAAAGGCAAACTGTGTGCAATGAAAGGGGCACTCGATAACAGCAGAGTGATCTGTGGCACGGTGTTCACAGGTTTGCTCCTCGCTGAGGTGCCCTGATAAAAACTTAGTCAATGTTGTCAGGATAACCAGTGCAATTTTAAGAGATTAACCTAAATTGGACTCAAGTCAGGCAATGTCTCTGACCTGTCTGACATCATAGGTTAAAACCTAGACTGTGAATAGTCCCCAGTGCAGTGAAATGTTTGCAGCATCTTTCCCATTAATGAGAACAACACAATCTTGCTTTGACCCCCACCACCTTTTTGTTTGTACCAGAACTGTTCATATATTGCTTCCATTAACAAGATACACCAATCAGTTCATAAGCAAGCCTCATTTAAGAAGAAGATCCACTTTTGAATTGAGCAGTTTTCCCTCTTAAGCCCAATGTATTTGAATTTATCCAATGCGGTTTTAATATGGGTATCTGCAAGGCTGGATTATCAATCTGTCAAATTGGGCAACTAGCCCACAGTCCCTGACCCTCAGGGGCACCAAAAGCCCTAGTTTGCTCTGTGTAGCATTTGTGGAATATCCACCATAACAAGGTCTTTAAATGGTGTCCTGTAGTATTGCCCAATTTTGAGGACCCGTTTTGACCAAAGGCACAATGTCAGAAGCTAGTATTAGCACTGTGCTAACATCACAGCTCATTTTTGCCCCAGGAACCTCAAGTGTTTGAATCTGGGTATTTCTGAGATCAGGACTACATAGGTAGCTCTGACAAATATGTAAACATAGGCTACATTCGAGATGTGTGTGATTGTATCTGATGCTGTTTGTGCTTTTGCTACGGCTGACTGTGTTTGCTTTTCTTTCTTTCTGTTACTCTGGTACTCACGTCTCTCTTGCAAAAGAGACATTGATCTCAGTGAGACGAGCTGATTAAATAAAGGTTAAATATTCTGGTGATATGGATTTGAATCTGTAAAACAATAACATTTTTGTCCAATGTATTTGCATATACCGTGAATCTGGCATTCCATGATATACCACAGATATTGAAAAAAAAAGCTGGGGGTTGAATTAGCAGTTGTGCTGATACTCTAGGCCCATATAACCATATTGTTTGCCACATTTCCCTGCACAAATCAATATCGTCAAACTTGGCAATATTACTATGACATTCAGAATATGAAAACCAAACAAGGATGGAATAGACAGAGAGCAGATACAAATATTGACGGTGCTGCAAACTTTCAATGACAAACATGCCCTCTCCTCGGCTTCATATGGAATTGTGAAACATGCACAGAGACTGACAGACTGACCTCTCACTTTAAAGAAGATGCACGTTGACATTGATGTCCACCGTGATTTGCCTCCATCTGCTCAATAGCGGACACCACAGATACATATTCCACTTCATGGCTTGAAAAATGTGTCACCAATATGTAGCCTCTATGGGTGTTGATAAATGTGATTTCTTTTTTTTATCATAAAAAGGTTTGCATCCTATGATGCAGGGGGAATCAATATTAGTATTTACCATGATCATGCTGTTATTAGACACAAAACAAAGACAAACCTCCTTGAAATGATGAAAGGCACACCAATAAGATGTATGTGTTCAAACACAGCAGATCAAAATGTGTTCTCACATCAACTGTAAAAGCTCCATTAAAATGTCTGAAATTCATCCGCTCCTCATAGTATTTATGGACCTACACGCTTGTTTTTGCATGACCAACCATCACAGCAGGTGCTGATTCAGTTTGCGCTCTGGAAATGAGATAAACACATAGAAGCAGATGATGAATGCATAAAATATTTTGATGCATCACAGAAGTACTGGACAAAATAGACAGTTCGGGAAGGCACAATTCAACACTGGAATAATATTACAGTGACTCACTTATTTTTCATTTCAAATCATGTCAAACCAAACAAACTAAACTTGTGACTGGCAGGAGTTGATTTGGATATTATGGGCCATATATAAGCCATGGGATAAAAAACACCAGAATTAGGATTAGGCTTTGAGAGCATTTTCCTTTTGAATCCTTTATTAATCTAAATATATATAATAGGCTTTCACCATTCATAAGTAACTTAAGTTAAACATTATTTAAAACCCAAAATCTTCTCACTTTTTGTTGAGAAGCTGTTATGGAATGAATTAGCTGATGTTATCTGCTGACAGTGGTGTTATTTTATCCATTCAAAGCAATGGTCAATGCCAAAAAAAAGGGGCAAACCAATGTTTTCTATAGTTTTGTTAACCATTAAAATTACAGATGAGGCTCATAACTCATGCTAATATGGATCATGTAGTTACAAACAACAGTCACTTTAGTCATTTAATGCTGCATTCATATTTTCTGGCCATGTGAAGCTACAGACATATCACATAATTTAATTTTGTTAGCAAACAATTGCCTATATAAATATCCAGCAGACATGGAGCAAAATTAATTCATCATTCATCTCAAGTTATGTTTCTGGCCATCTGATGAATGTTAGTCCAATATTCACTCTCCTCTTAGCCAGCAGGTGAACTGAGTGGGGATACGAGGGGATACCATTTCCCTTGTTTGCAAAAAGACCCCCTAGCAGCAGACAGAGTGCAGGGGCAGTGGGGTTGTTTAGTTTAATATTTCTGTCTAGTCTGTCTTAATCATTGATCCTTTATTTGAGTGAGGTTTGTGCACGTTAGAATCTGTGGCACCGGCCATGGCTCTGAGGTATCAGTAACTAACTGCTGTGTACTGATCAATCCCTGCCACTGTCCGTGGTGCTGAAGTAGCAGACGGCTTTATAATTGTGCCTTTTTTCTCTCAATCCCGCTCTTTGTCAGTTTTGTCTTGAATATTAAATATCATAAACTGTATAGTATATATACTCATTATACTCAATACTATATATACTCATTATTATTATACTACTATATCATAGCCTATTTACTGTACTCATAGAGTAGTGTCACCTTCATGATCAAAGGATCATAGATACATGTTTGCCAGTAGTGTTCGTTTTTGGTCTCCACCAACTCTTGTGGGAAATATCTGGCTGTTTATCAGAGAGCAGGTAGCCAAACAGGAAGTTTTGGGCCGTAAGAATAAAACAATGACCCGAAAGATGCCAAAAAACTCCGTAGAGCTGAGGGGATCTGGAGAGCGGATGATTCCCTGTGTGTCCGTCATTATGAAGGACACCTTTCACTTTGCACATAAGTCATTTAATCCCTTTTTAATATGAAAATATTGATGAGTACAGCTTTAAGTACATATACACACAACACAGCAACCATTTTACGATTTAAGAGAGAAAACAAAATCCATATTTTAAATGATTGTCTAACTAAGATGTTCCACCCAATGCTTCACTGATGACTACTGTTCTATTACCTGTGTATTAAAACATCATTTGCCATGTCATCACAAAAAAAGAAGGACCATCATTTCCCTGCTGCATATGACTATGAGACAATATGCAAAAAGCTATTAGAAATGCAATTGGTAGCTATTTAAAAATTAAATCCCAACAAACCCCCTGCAAAAGCCAAATCCAAATAAACACTGTAAGCGCTAAATCTGTGGTGTCAGGAGTCTTTGAGCTGCCTTCAGCAGAGTCCACATTAATACCAAAGCTGGCCCGCTACATGTCCTTGAGGGGCCAATTCATTAGTTAGCTAGAAAGCCCAATCAATCACAATGTATCAGGGAAGACTACAGATCATAATTCAGCTCAGGTACAGCAAAGAGAAAAGACAGGGAAATGAGACGATGGATGGATGGAAAGAAAGGCAAACAAGACAGATTGGCAGGCAGGGAGAAAGGAAGAAGGATGATTGCGGCTGTAACCGCAGACATTTTAAGGCGGTATCCCATGAGTCGCTTGGTGTTAAAGTCATTGGAGATCACCTGTCAATCATAAGGCCTGGAGTACATTTTCGTTGTTAAAGTTTTTTCTAGAAAATGAGCCTTGAGGAATTGAGTAAGTAACAACAAATGAAAACACTTCCATGGCCTGGTTACAGGGTCTCCCTTACCGTGTTATTAGTGATAGAAAGAACCAAAAAGGACAGTGATTACATTATATGAAACATTTTATTTTACTTGATTTTCTAAATGAAACACTTCTTAGCCGTATGTTCCAGGAGGCTCAGGTTTCATGATACAAATATACGCTATTGATTAGCGAGAGAAGGGAAAGCCTGGTGTGCTCTCCTGGGATTTCTGCAAAGGAAAACATGTCCGCACACATACGCACATACACACAAACAAGTGCGCGACCTCTAGGGGCTGTCCCAAAGGTCTGAGTGTGTCTCCTCTACTTGTCTGCAATTGTTCCCTTGCCTTCATTGATCTCTCATAGATCAATGTAATAAAATAGAAACAGGTGTATGTTTGCACCCAGAGGAAACAGCAGCACATTAATCACAGCCTGTGCTCAGATACATTACACATGCAGCTGCTCCCAAGCCAACATGAATTGGTTTAACAATGACTTTTAAGGCTCATCTGTCAAAATTATGAATTAAGGGATTTAATGACTTTTAAGGCTTTTGGCTGCTTTAATGTGATGATTCAGAATTACTGTGATGCAGAGTGTCTGAGGAGTAAAGTAGCTAAGTCATTTTGCGAGACTTTGTATTCACTAGATTGTTCTGAAGGCAGCATGCTATTTGCTACGTACTATGCAGAAAAGAATATGTGATGTTTAAAATGTAGCTTTATTAGCTAGGCTAAAATATTAGCTAAACTTCTAGCTAATTAACCAGCCGCGTGTACAGTTAGACCACCTAAAACAATAAAATACTTGTAAAATGAAGCTTGTAATAACAAAACAAAACTAAAGTATTATTTCGCTGTAATACAGAATACTGCAGGATTCCTAAAACCCAGAAAGAGTGAGCATTTATCCACCTCCGGTTCCCTCAAGTTGAAGTCAAAGGGTTTTCTGAATGCGTTTTTGGTTGGATACCTAGGATAAATTCTGGGGTTACCACAAGCTTAAGAGATTTTTACGTTTTGTTCTACGATATAAAACCTTTTGGTAAATAACTCACTTGTAAATTTGAAAGCTTTTATGTGTCTTTACAAAGGCAGTTGCTAACAACTGGCTAAATGAGACACTACACTACTACTACTATTAGTGACATTAAATGTCAGCGCTCCAAACACAGAGACTGATCTATTCACTAGTGTCCCTTACAGCCTTGTTGTGTTTGTACTCGGAACACTTGGAAGTTTAGCAGTGGTGAGGTTCAAATCATGCGACTGTGCTGTATTTAGTTTCTTTTTACTTCTAGCGATTGCATTTACGGTTCAAAAATCATAAATCCTAACACTTGTCCGTATTTGTAAAGAATCTCTTGCGGAACATGCAGTCCAAAATCCCTCTGGCTTTTTGTAGAAGGAACCAGGGCGGTGCTAACTTTTGGGTTGGCCTACACAAGTACGTCATCCCTGCGGCACTCCACTCCACTTAGCAAAATGATTTGTGTATTTTGTCTTCCTCCTCTTGGGATAAAGGCAAAGCAAACACACACAGGAGATGTAGAGGGATCACAGTGAGTGCTGAAGGGAATGTAAGAGAAAACCTTAAACATTAAAATTAGGTAAGTAGAACAGGTCTATAGCCCTACTGTTTATATTCAGCAGGTAGTATGTATGTATGTTGACCTTTTTTATAAATTTTTTCATAGTAGGTTAATACAGCTGGAATTAAAAACATTAATAATGACTGCATTCCATTCAGGTGAGCCAGTTTCAGGGTCCTGGTACTGTCAGGGCTGACTGGATTCTTGATGGAACTGAGCCATCCTTAGTGAAATGTGGTACACTGATATATTTCCTGTTATGACAAGTCAAAATGTCTGCCGTGATAAAGGTCTACAGTATGTGGGAAAAAGAATGGTAACAGGATAAGTTGTCTCAACGGTGCAAGCACAGTAACAGGAGGGTGAGGGAGATGTCAATCAAATGTAGTTTGTACACACCCACACAGTCTAGAGCGGTATAATCAGGCAACATAAGTGAAAACACATGCGTAGGTGGACTGTGGGTGCGTAGCCACTTCAAGGTTAAAGCTGACATACGATAGAAAGTTGGATATAACATTTTCATGCATTCTGACACAGTTAGCAACTAAAGCACTGGGAATGGGGGTCAGCGTATATAATTCATGCTGTTTTCAAGATGTACAAGATAAAAATTTGAAGATCCCCTCCAGACAGTTAATAAGACATATACACAAATAGTCTGCCTGGAACAATAATGAGTCTCTAGAGATGTAGAGTCCATTCTCAGTGTATGTGCACTGACAGCATCAGGTTTCTACATCACACATGCAAATTGCATACTGGACCAGGATTGACTGACACACCATTTGTGATGTCACAAATCATGCTTGTAGGCCCGCCTCCTTAAAATTGATTTTCACTGAGCACAGAGCAACTTTCAACTTTCAAAAGATGTCAAACTCTGCACATATCCTATTCTGCACAATGGAGCCCAAACAGCTAACTGTAGGGACAAAAGGAAAAAGTGGAGGGGGGCTTTAACCTCAAATTTAACCTTGAAATCAATATTTTAAGGTTAACTTTCCAGTAGTTATCAACAACAGGCCTTCGTAACCTAACCCTTTTATGATTCCACAAGGATTTGGCCCGGTTGGAAATCTAAGCTCCCTAACTTGGTCATGTATGGGAACCTTACACCAACATGACACAACATGACCCATTAATTACACACCTGGATTAAAAGTGAATACACCAACCATTGGCAGTCATTCAACGAAGGTCATATGACTTCATGTTTCAGGTGAAAAGGTTGCAGGTGCATGGACATAGGCTTTGATAACAGAAATCATATATGTATGATAGGATCTTGCTTCCTGATGTTCACTCACAGAAAAAGACAAAATATATCAAGTGTATTAGCCTCAGACAGGTAGTAATAGTATCATTGAATAGTGACTTTTACTTTATGTTCTCTCAATTATTCTGTGAGAGCAGGTGTCACTTTTTTTTTTTTTTGGATTGTGGATATCTCATCTTTGTCAGGAATTCATTATCCTTTCTGAACCAAGCTGCTCAAAAAAGTATTTAAAGGACAGAATGTGACTGAGAAAATAAATTAATTCCATGGTGTGGCCTTGGAGGGGCAGTGAACTTCTACTGGAGTGCTGTCCTTTAATATGTGGTGGCTGCTTTAGATTAAATCCAGGAAAAATGAGTAACAGGAGATTTTAAGACTGCTGTCTTGAGAAAAGATGTTGTGCCTCTGCTGAAAGTTTGGACTCCGTTGCTTAGGTTTCATGACTTTAGGGGCTAAAGAAACACACGCCTTCTGTATATCATCTGGAAGGCACATATTAAATTATCCAAATACATTTGTTGAACTCTTCTTAGGTTGACCCCCTGAGGCTGTGATGGCCTCAACAGACAGGTAACAGGAGATTGCCTCCGGTCGGCTTTTATGAATGTCACTAAATGGTGTGAAAATGGCAGCCAAGCAGCTACAACAGAGCAGCACTGGTGGATTTTGTCCACATTTAATGAGGCAGCTGGTGGGGAGGTGAGGCATTGTTTTCCTCTCATTGGGGATGCATTGGGTAATTTGCGGTAACCGGGGAGATGCCATCCCCTTTCATCCCTCCTCAAATGGCCGCCTGACCGCAGCGGATGCCAGTAATGCTCCGTTACCATTCCTGAGCACATTGTTGGCATTCAGCAGACATGGGCCACCACTGCTACAAATGTGCCCCCACAGCTTAATGAGGTGTCAAAGAGAAAACAACAGTGTAATTAAAGCAAATAACACATAAATACAACCAAAAGGATAGAGAAAAACTTGGGAGTTAATAGTTTCATCTTGAAATATATCCCTCAGTTTAAAAAAGGTTGTAGCATTAAAGCCAACAGATGAACCAATGGAGATAGATGCACAATTGTTGCCATAACAAATTATATAATGTATGAAAGGGATAACAAACTACTAAATAGCACTATTTACTGTTCACGTTGCTGGATCCACCACTTGATCCTGGAAACGTATGTTATGCAGGGAAACATTGTTCAACCCCACAATAGTATATTTCAAAGAACCATACCAGTGGTTTGACATGTTTGTCTCATGCATTATGAATGACTGATTTCATACATTTGTATGTATTTAGAATGTTTTTCCAGACATCCATCGGTCTCCATTTATTTCTATGCAATAGACCAATCTTTAAATTAGCTTGAGTTGTCAATCCCTCACACTGAATATCAGGTCTGCATTATTGTTGTGTCAATACATGTTATAAGGTAATGTAGTGCAGACTTTTAAAACAACAGCATTTAGCATCATACTTTCATTTAAGGTCCTGTGTGTTTGATTTAGTGGCATCTAAAGGTGTAGTTGTAAATAGCAAATCTTGTTTTGCCCTCCATTTCATACACAAGGGAGAAACTACAGGGGCTGCAAAACACGTGAACTGCCCTATCTAGTTCCAATGTTTGGTTTGTCTGTTCTGGGCTACTGTAGAAACATGTTGGTTCAACATGGCATGAAGGCCACCCAGGGCGTCTATAGATAGAAACTGCTCATTCTAACGTAACAGAAATGCAACAGTTCCTATTTTCAGGTGATTATACACTAATGAAAATATACCTATGTATTGTATATTTCATTTCTGCCAATAGATCCTTCTAAATGTACACACTGGACACAATCATCGAATTTGAAGTTGTAGTAGATGCAACAGAGTGACTTTCAATCACTGATATGACTCAAGCTCTTGACAAAGCTCTCCAGAACCACTAAACATTTTTTATTTATTTTTTTTAGGTTGAACAGTACTTCTCCTGACAAATAAACTCTTAATGTGTAAAACTGCACTATTATACAGTCATAATGTCACTTTGACCAAAATGGATGTAGACTTGATGTTCACTGTGATAAATTAAACAACACAATCAATTTTGCTTTGATGTTGGTCAGCTAATTGATTTTTTATACATTACAGAAATGAACGGAAACCAATGGCTGTTTTGAACTTTGGAATAAATGAATACAATCTAATCTTGCATAGCATGCATTGGAAAATGGTGAAAAACAGTACAATTATGCGTGATTTCTAGTTAAAACACTGTATGATCCTTTGACGTTACCTCAATATTCAAAATACCATTTTGGGAAACAAAAATACATTTTGAAATTTTGCATTTGGTGTAATGTTTGCAACTAGGAAAATATTATATGCTATACACGTTAAGATGAAATTTAAGGAAAGTGTTACATGAGGCTACAAAATGGAATGACTTTTAAATGGCAACTATCGGTTTGGAGGTCACAGAGCTTTTATCAACAGAGCTGTTTAATATTTAAACTTCTCATGAAAAAAATTAAACTTTTTGTCAGTGACAGCTGTAAAAGAAAAACAGTGTTCCAAAAAACTATTCATAAACTATATGTCCTTGAAACTCTTGGCTTATGACTTCCCAACCTTTGTCATTGTTCATTAAAGAGCACTGACTTCTCTAGTGTAGACACAAATTTAGTGAAATTCCTCTGTTCATTTGAAAAGATACATGAAGCAATCTCATACAACAATAGAATGCACACATTAACAGTGAAGGAAAGATATGTCTGCAATTTCTGTAATAAAATATAGACATGGATTCCAGTGTTGGTTTTCCTTTTTCAATGATAAACTCAAAGGGTTGACATGAGATTAAAAAGGAGAAAAGGTGAGTTGACGATGAAAAGACAGAGATTAAAAGACAGAGGCAATTGAGTAATCTCAGGTAACATTTATATGCATGTGTTTCCATATAAAAACTCTATATATCATCTACATGACTATAGTCATTAACACTGTGAAAGATACTATCTTGGGAAAGTGTCCAGTTTAAAAAAATGAAATTAAAGTCTCTGAATCATCCATTTTATTTTTTATTTTATTTCACTTTACTGAAACTGTCACGTGCTGTTGGAGAGTTTTGCATCCAAGACCCGAAGGGCGATTTAAAAGCATCTGCTGAACAGTGACTGCAGCTTTGCAAGGTGAAGAAAAATGTCTGTAACTCAAGATAGAATTAAATACAGAAATGTGAATATGATGATTAAATGTTGATCCCATCACATGCTGTAAATTATTGTTTGACTACTGGCTGTAGTCCAACACAGTGGTTTCGATTCGTTTTTGGCTTGTGTTCTGATTAAAACAAGATAATTGTAATATATCGTCGCCTGTTGCACAGAGATACAAATATCATGAGACAAGACAGAAAGAAAACGTATCTATCTAATTGTGTGTTTCTAATTTATGATGTTAATCATCTCACAAGAGATTGGACCTTTAGCCCCAGGTTGGGAACCACTTCTGTAAAAGTCACCCTTAAGAATATATTTTTTTTACTTTGTATTCGTTTTCTTTCGTCATTATGTAAATACTTTTTTTTGGCTACTTTTAATGTTTTCTAAATAGACACTGACCCAGTGTTCATTCTCGTATTACCCATTTATGGAAATAAGAATCATCATTATCATTATATGTGTCTAAAAGCTGATTGAGTAATGATATCTGCAAGACAAAAGGGTCTGTGCCAAAAAAGGAAGTACATTTGGGACCAGCAGAAAGAAAGACCAAACAAGAACATGCAAAGGTATGTGCATGGGGCTACACAGGCAAAATCTAACATAATCTGATTTAATGATATTTTTAGAGCATCACACGGCAATTTGAACCACAAAAACAGCACAAAACCATGATGTAACAAAAAAAGGTTCTCTTTCCCAGGAGTGTACAATATGAGATTAATCTCAGGCAAAATAATCCAGCACCAGTCAAAAAAAATGAAGACATCCTAAGTGACAACTGATGGAAAAACTATGTAAAATGTATTTGTCTGCAGTGCATTCATTCATTGTTGCATATATGTATGCACATTTGAGTCCTTTGTTTAATTTGGTCACCTGGATTCTTTTTTCTTCTTTTTATCCGTTGATACTTTCTTTTGTGTTACTTACACTGTTTTAGACCTTGACCCAATGTTCACATTCACTCAATGTGCATACTCATTCCTGGAAATAATAAGAATAATCATCATCGTCATCAAAAGCCTGTTATGCAGCCTCTGAAATGTCATTTGCCTTTTAATTCCCAGAATCCCCACAATTAAGGACACTACTTAAAGAAACACATTTTTCTGTCTTTTCTGTTTTAACCACAAGCCTTCAAACAGCAGTAATCCTCCTGCAGTCCAGTCACACCATTTCACAGTCTCAGCTGTGCTCTTAGCTCACAGCGCCCCTTGTGGCCAATTCTAAACTTGTATGCATGGTACCCTCCTATTCCAGCAATGCTTTCCAAACACAATCCATTGCAGTTCCCCCTAATAGATGTACATTTCACTAAGCAACCCCATAATATCAGAATATACTCAGAGGCACAATAGAGATGATCTTAAAGTTTGGAGTCAGCACAGATTTGCATAACTGACAGCTAAGACAATAACAGCACAGTAAGAAAAGAAAGAAAATCACAAATTAAAAGAAACATCAGGCTCCTTGAACATTGTTCATTGTACTAGTTTAATTGCAGTGCAAGTAAACTATTTCTCCCGTTTCTGGTGATGCCATGATAGCCCCTCAAGGACCCCTGGAGCTTCCAGGAACAGAACCCTGCACAGGAGCCAAGTCACTGCAGTAAAATGTTGGGCTGAAAAGACACTTTCCCAGCCAATTTGAGTCTTTTTTAAGTATCTGAATGATATTTCTGTTCTATTACAGAGCGGTATGATCGAAAATATGACAGAGGAAGGAGGAATGATGGGGGAGAGATTGGGAGAGTTTGGAGGGGGTGGACATATCAGATTCATACCCCCCCCACATCCCTTTTTTAGTTCATAACTGCCATGGGTATTAATAATTAATGAGGACAATTCTCTGGCGTCTGGATGAGTCATACTTTCTGCTACTTGGTTTCCCAAAAGCCCCATAGGTTGAATTAACACAGAAACAGGGAATCTGAATTTTTAACCCTAAAATGGGACAGGCATGAATGTTTGATTGGTGTCTAAAACCAGATGGAGCGATGATACCTGCTAGACAATAGTGCCAGTGCCAAAAACACTTCAACAGCTTGAAAAGTGAGAACGAATCTGGGATATTTGGAGATGGAAACAACAGAAAGGTGGGTGAAAAAATAACATGCAAAGGTACATGAATGACATACATGAACACAGGCAAAATTTGACTTTCTGACATTTTCAGCGCATCACAAGGAGATCTGAACCATAGCAACAGCACAAAACTGTGTTTCAATGATGTTTTTAAGCTTCAAATGTTTAGTTTGGCACAATATCTGTTTAAATTAGGATTTTAGCTAAAAAGGATTAAGTAAAACCAGTGTTACCACCTAAGATGTGGCTCTGAAAGCACAAAAGGTTTCATGGCCTTAAGTGTATAACAAGCAGCAGTTTCCACAGCCAGTTTCCTCAAACTAAACAAACAAACATATATTATGCTTGAAGGCTAGCTAGTATTTATACATGAACAAAAACAAGTACAACATTCTGTCACTTGGGCTGGAGTTTGTCCAACCCTGAGCTTTCAGACAATCCAACTTGTTCAGTGAAAAACTCAAAGTCGGGGTATAAAGGAGTTGGCAGTTTGAGCAGTAGAATCGTTTTTTTTTTTTTAAAGTAAAGCAGTCTTGAAAAGTTAAGAGGATGTAACTAAAAGAAATAGGGAAACACAGTGCAAATAGGTGCTGATTTTAATACCTTGATTTCAACATGATTATACAAGAGAAAATTAACCAATATACAGGAGATTTATGACCGATAGAAAATTGTATTTATTATACTTTCCAAGATACATTCTATTCATTTGTAATGTCAATAAACACTCATAATTTTAACGTAACAATACTCTTTAAATAAGGACCGGATAGAGTTAGGTTGATAAAAGAATTTCGAAATAGAACCTGTCTTGACAATATAACCTCAAACTAAATAAATTAAACAAAATTATTTGAAGCCATCATGACTGAGCATTTTTACTAATATTGCACATGGTGTTTTATGATATGATTCTGCCCAGATCTAACAATTTAGAGCTTCAATTTGCAGCCGTCCTCGCCCCACAAACGTCTCCGTTCCCCTCCCAACAATTCTGGAACCATATCAAGTTTAATGCACATTTATTTTGGTTGCATAATGTTAATAAGAAACCTTTTACAAGATACTGTGGGAGATATAAGAATAAGAAAACTGCTTGAAACTTCACAGACTCTATCAGGCCTCAGCTTGTCGTGCGACACAATAAAAAGGAAACATCACAGATCACATTTCACAACCCTCGTCCAGCGGGTCGTGTTCTTCAGTAAACTGAGAGAAACAAAAACCCTTGAATTGACTCAACAGTCACTTCTGGTGGCCTGAATTAACTCTGATGCATCATTCTAACAAGTCCTTTCCACTCTTTGTGTATTATTCTTTTTTAAATAATACCGATAACTCTTTAAATAATCCTGCATAGAAAAATAAATTAACTATGTTGTTAAATTTTCTTTTACTACGAATTGAGAGCTGACAAGGGGAGGTGGATCACCGATTGAATTATATTAGCGGTTTGTTTGACAATTCTGGCTTGTAGTCTCTTGATGATGATGCTCCGTCGTACAGTATGTGTGTTTGTGTGTGCATGTGTAGATGTTTGTCCTTCCTTGTAATTTACAAACCAGTCCCACAGATACAAATAATGTAAGACTTACAAAATAAATTCCAGGTTACGCTTACATGGCAAGCAGCTTTGTAATTTTTTATCCTTGGGTTTTTCATTTTTCAGAAACGTCCTCTGACAGTGTATGTGCCGTTAGATTTCACCCAAAACATACAGTTAACTGTAATTAGCAATTTTTGAAGAGAAACACAACTCCATTCAGAAGACACTATATTTAACATGGCTCTTTACACAAAGAGAACAAGTCACAAAATCATTCCCCAAAAGAGTTTTGCAGTGCCTCCAATTCCCACGTAAGGAAAACAGGAGCCGTTTAGCCTCTCGGTAAAGAGCAGGTGTACTGCTACTGGTGTAATCCAGACAAGATGGCAGAGAGTCTGCAGCCGACTCCAGAGAGCATCCCCAAGAACAAACAGATATCCCCGCAAATAAAAAAAAAGCAAAGTAGTATCCATTGAGTCCCCAGTTCTGTTAATCTCATCCCAGAAGTAGTGATTTTGGATACTTTCCAGAGCAAAAGAACAACAACCAACATGCCCTCCTTTTTCTTTTTTTCTCTTTTTTTTTAAAACGAGGGTTGAAGTCAGCGAGGTATATTCTCAAGCACTGTTTTCAAGACCCTTTGATTTGGTTGGAGAAACAAAAGGAGAAGAAAAAGAACAACAAGAACAACAAAAATAAGAAGATAAGTACCCATTTCAATAGCAGCAAAAATACTATGACTGTCTGGTTGCTTTTTAGGGTGTCCTGTGGTATGTATGTGGGATTCATACATGTAGTGGCATGGATAATCCAAAAAGTCTTTTACTGTGAAACAGATCCACGCTGATTCTAGTAATAGCTTTTGTAATGTGGAGCCATTTTGTCCATCTCTGCATTGGTCATTAAGGATTTCCAGAAGGCACTTTTTTGCTGTGTGTGGGAGTGTGTGTGTGTGTGTGTGTGTGTGTGTGTGTGTGTGTGTGTGCGCGCATGTGTGGCTGCAGAGAGGGTGATGAAGACAGAAAGCGAGAGATCTGGGGGCTTGAATGGTGTGTGTGTGTGTGTGTGGCCAGAAAGAACCAGAGAAAGGCAGATGTGTTTGGCCGTCTGTCTGCCTATATGTGTGTCTGACTTCCTTGTGTACGTGTGTCTAATCAATGCACTAAATCAAACACAACAATCCCTACATTTTACTCAGTGCAGTCTGCTCCTCGAGCACCTGCAGGTAATCAGGCGTTCCTTGGAGCTTGGCTTTCAGCTCGTAATACTCACTTTTTCTCTGCTCCACCACGATCTTACTGTGGTTCCCGCCTATCAGCGATGACTTCTTCATCTTTTTATCCAGCGTTTTCTCCGGGTAGCGGATTTCGTATCCGCCCATCCCTATACTGTTGAAATCTCTTTTGCTGTCCAGGAAATTCTGGATGAACATGCTGGGCTCTCGGTGGGGGAGGAACTCCTCGAGTTCATCGATGGTGCTGAGGCGTTTGTTGCGCTCCAGGGTGGAAAGCGAGTCTTTATCCTTGTCGGCACTGTTCCGGAGGATGATCTTCTGCCTCTGCGAGTCTGCAAACTTGAACCCAGCATCGATGTCTGAGGAGCGTCCGATCCCACAGGTGTGGCTCTTTCCAATATGCTCGATGGTCTGGGGGATGAACGTCTCACCTCCCAAGTCGTCTCCCGGGATGGAGCCTTTTTTGCCAGATTTGTGGCTGTGTCGGCGGAGCTGCAATGACATGGAGCCACACTCCTGATTTCCAAGCCCCTCCTGCCTGCCCACTGGTTTTTTATTCCGCCTCAGGACAAAGACTAGAAGGCAGAAGGCCACAAACACAGTAAGGATAAGAACTACGAGAATGCTGAGGATCATAATGGAGAGAGGCACAGGCCCTCCTGGTGGTGCTTTGCCAACTCCGGCAGGCGACACTGAGGTCAAAACAGGGGTGGTGCTAATGAGGATAAACGGTGGTCTTGCAACAAGTTTAGGACACAGGATCTCATTTTTCAAGAGGCGCAGCTCTATGTTGGAGAACTGTACAGGGGAGGCACATTTCACCTCTTTGGCAGCCACTCCATCACTTAGCTTCTCTAGCCAGAGTTTGAGGGCGACAAGATCGCAGGAACACTCCCACGGGTTCCCTTCCAGGTCTATCTGGGTCAATGATCGCAGCTGGTCCAAGACACCACTCACTGGCAGGGTCATGAAGTGGTTGTTTTTTAGATTCAGTCTGGCTAAAGAGACACCCGCAAACACGTAGGCGGGGAGACTCCGCAGTACGTTGTTGTTGAGATACAGGAGTTGTAGGTTCGGCATGGAGTCAAATGTGCCTGCTAAGATTTCTTTTATGGCATTGTATTCCAAATATAGGTACTGTAGGTTTGATAGGCCCAAAAACATCTCTGGGTGTAACTGTTCAAGCTGGTTTCCATTCAAGTACAGTCTCCTCAGGTTAGTGAGGTTAGCAAACACGCCTTTCTGGACTGTGACAATTTGATTGCTGCCAAGATGTAGCAAATCTAAACCCTCAAACCCTTGGAAATCAGCTGGGCTTATGTCACGGATGTAATTCCCACTCAGGTGAAGTTTCTTGGCATTTGGGGGTTTGGGAATGAGATCAGCTAAGTTTTTAATATTCCTCTCTTGACAGCTGACACTGATGCCAAAGTCAGAGGGGTGGGCTTTACAGCTGCAGGGCTGTGGACACAACAATGGAGGAGTCCGTGTCTGAAATGAAACAATCTGGCTATTTCTTCCAAAAGGGGGTAAACCAGCCACAATACCATTACCGTAAATCTTAGATGAGTCAGTGGTTTTTGGCGCTTTTGTGGCTATGGGAACCACAGTGGTTGGGGACATTTTTGAGGGAGACTGCCCATTATCAGGCTGTACAGGTGGCATCCTAACGTCAAAGTCACTTCCTGTTCCCATAGGACAAAGCTCCTGTTTGTTGGTTTCTTTCAGGAGTCTCCCATACAAGTCGCTTGGTGTTTCACATATGGCCTCACCGATAAAAATGTTATAGGGCATGTTTTCAAGCCATGCCTTGAGAGGTGCTAAGTCACAGGTACAATTCCAGGGATTATCATCCAGTTGAAGCTCTACAATGCGCCCAATATGCTCTAGAACCCCCAAATAAGGAAGCTTCTGGATCCTGTTTCCCCTTATATCCAGGTGTGTGAGCGAGGCAAAGCGAAATATGTTGTCAGGAAGTGCCTGTATGAGATTATCATTCAGGATGAGCACTTTAAGCCTGTGCAGTTTGTTAAATGCTCCCTTTTCAATGTATTTTATCAAGTTGTAGTCAGCCTGAAGATATTCCAAGTTCTCTATCCCTTGGAAAGTGTCTGCTCGCAGCACCTTTAATTCATTATTGTTCAGGTGCAGCTGTTTTAACGCGCTCATCCCCAGGAACGCTCCACCTTCGATGTTCTGCAGTTTATTGTTCCCTAGCTGCAATGACACAGCATGGGTGAAGTTGAGGAATGAGTTTGGGTAGAGTATGATTAAGAAGTTGTTCTGAAAGTTCAGGTGGTATAAGGACGAGGCCGGCGGAATGAGCTGCGTGGGTCGATAGACAGTGATCTTCTCGCAGTTGACGTATAGCACGTTTTCCACCGACATGCAGGAGCAGGCGCTGCAGGTCTCGGCCATCAAGTCCGAGGCGGACGGGTCTGCCATCTGGGGTCCGTCCGACATGGAGGGGGAGGAGAGGGAGGAGGAGAGGGAGCCGGAGATGGAAGAAGAAAAGGCTGCCAGCAGGAGTACGAGCAGCATCTCGCCGGTTAGAAATCCTCCCCCAGAAAACCATTTAGTAACCTTTGGAAAAAAAAGACAGGTGCATGCACAAACATTCACACACACAGGCGTACATATGTGCAAACAAACCCAGAGACGCACAGACACACACACGCAGAAAGCAAACCATCAAAAGGCATATTGGATATTGATTCTACTGAAATTGCACTATTTCATCGTTGATTTTGTTTCTTTTTTATATTAATTCTAAAAACCACATCAGGGATGTTATTACTACCTTTTTACTTTAAATATAACATTGTGTAAATTGCCATGCTGATGATGCACATTTCAAATCAGTGCACTTTTTATTAGAATTATTGCAGTGAGTTGCTTTGGCTTTGACACAATGATTCACCCTAATCACTGGACAACACAAATGCTTGATGCACATTATTCAATACTGCAGGAAAAGTACCATATGCTCTGGAAATTACTCAAACCCATTAACTGCTTAACAACTATGCAGCCTATTGTGACATCCAAAGCATGAAGCATCTTCTTAGAAAATGTCCAAGACAGCATCACGACTATATTCTTCCCCTCTCAGCAGATTCAACATAATCAAAGTCAAACGGCTGCAGTTCTCTTTTTCATGGGGGTCTCATTTGAAGCCAGCAGCACCACCACCACTAAGTAGCACATTCAGGTTATTTAGCAAAGCAACTGTGAGAGCAAGGCAAAGAGGAAGAATTGGGACTGTGCCCATTGCTGACATATTGAGAAGGTTTGAGCGGCACGCATTTATCACACAGAGAAACATTTTTATTTATTTTTTCCAGATTTGACACCAAATATAAAAGAAAAAATGAAAATGTTCCTCAAACCCATACATTTTAGAAACCAGGTCATTTTAAAGGAACACAGATGGAATCTACATAAACTGGACTTACCCAAAGCTGAAGTGGTAATGAATGCGGCTCCCTCTGGAGACACGGGGCAGCATTGGTGAGACATGGATGGAGACGTGCGCAAACAGTCCTCCCAGTTGAAGTAGAACACAGACAGTTATAGGGGCGCAACAAGGTTTCTCCAGCCCCTATATCCCCATGCAGGCTACTGTATATCAACCCGAGCCAGGCAAACTGGAGGGGGGTGCGGTGGAGATGGAGAGAAAGGAGAGGGGGTGGGGGGGGTGGCTCCGATTTCACCCGATGCGTCTCTTGCTGACGGGCTCCTCTTGCTTGGAAAAATCACCCCTCTGGTCGTTCGGTCCCCAAGGTGGTTGTACTACCTCCATGGGAGAGCATTCATTTAGTTGCAGGAGAGATAGAGAGAGACTGGGAGAAATGATAGAGGAGGGAGAGAGAGAAATAGAGAAAGACAGAGAGAGAAAAAAGGGAGAGGCAGACAGGTTTTCAGAGATCTTGACGGCGCGTCCGGCGACTCCAAGGCGTGAAAAAAGGCGCAAGGTGGTCGGCGATGCGGTGAAATAAGTCCGTCATTCTTAAGAGTTTTTTTTTAGGAGGAAACTGGAGGAGGAAGATGGGCAGAGTAGAGGGGAAAAAGGGGGAGAGAGGATGGCCAACACTGTGCGTCTGGCTTCAGCTCGGCTCAGCAACCCCCAACGATCCAACGAATAAATACTGGTTTGTTTCGAGCGAAGTTGCGCACCGGGATAATGCTTCAGAGGGCAAAAGCAGCCAAAACGCTCCCATCAGGTTATGTGGATCAGTATACTATTTTCCATCGAGGCAGCATAAATCCAGTCCTTTGCTCCGACCCCGTGCAAAACAGTTATTTTCTCTTCAGCGATCAGTTTGTTTGCTCTCAGCTGCAGGAGAGACGCTTATTTCAGTCTCCATCCAACGGGAAGGGATTTTTTTTATAAAGGGACGGAGGTAACAATAATGGCTATGGCTGTTTCGAAGCTCCTCTCCCGGACGAAAAAAAAGCGGAAAAGCACAGAGAGAAACAAGAGAAACAAGTCAGGACAACAGAAACCGGTGCGTAAAAATGAATAATGCAGTTATTCAGCCTTTAGTCCGCTGCGGTGCAAGTCAGGAGCTGGAAACTCCGCGCTCTTTCCCGCTGCCATCGCTCCACACGAAATGTAATCAAAATAAACTTGGAGAGGAAATGTGGGGATATTTTTTTTCTAAAGCCAAGGATATCCAGTCGGAGGAAATGGAGGGAGTTAAAAGAGAGGAAAGCGAGCTTGTGTTTCTCCCTCCTGTAAGACAGAACAGTATCCGTGTCAGGCGCATAAGTATGCTGGCTCTTTCTGCAGCCGCATTCACTGAGCTTCCCACACGAATAAAAGAGGAGAATGCAGAGATGTAGAGAGAGAGGAGGAGGGACGGAGGGAAGGAGGTGGGAGAGAGAGCGAGAGAGAGAGAGAGAGAGAGAGAGGAGGAGGAGGAGGAAAGAGGAGGGGGGTTCTCACATAGACCGAAAATGAAAAAAAACAAACTTCAGACCTTGAAACAGATCCGTTATTCTGAGCGCAGATTTTAATGGTTGTATTTCTGACACTTTATTATGATCTTCTAATTATCCTGTATTTTTTTAAAATTTTAATACAAAGAGGCTCTCACCTGTTTTATTTATTGTTTCCCGCCCTGTGTAACCTCCAAGGGGATCAAGATCAAAGCTGATCGTGAGCGTGTATGTTTGGGGAAGGGGGCTTAAAGAAAAGCAAAAAATAAATAAATAAATAAATAAATAAAAAGGCTTTACCTGCCAAATCGTCGCATTGGACTTGACTTGCGCGACACGACCTGAGCGCGTCCTCGAGGTCCGACTGGAGAGAGGTAGGGAGTGTGTGTGCTTAAAACCGGGCACGGGAGCGCGCCTGTGAGCGGCATTTTAAATAGAGGGGAGAGAGAGAGAGAGAGAGAGAGAGAGAGAGAGAGAGAGAGAAGAGGAGAGGAAAGGAGGAGGAGGAGGAGGAGGAGAGGGGGTTATTATTCAAGAGTGCTGCAGTCAGACGGGCTGCGAGAGGGAAAAAGGAGAAGGAGGTGGGAAATCAGTCAATCAGAGGCTTATGCGGTTCACATTTTTTGTTCTTCTCTTTTCTCTTTTTGTGTGTTTTGCAGGAGCGAAGGGATCGGAGCAGAGAGGAGAAGAGAGGAGATGGATGGAGCGGTGGAGAGGAGGAGATGAGCGCCTTAAGGTACGACTACACCCCTACTTCTAACATGATTTATCTCCATGATTGTATAAGCTCCTTCAAATGACAAGATCTCTATCTATCTATCTATCTATCTATCTATCTATCTATCTATCTATCTATCTGTTTATTTATTCATGTGAGATGAGTCCCGGGCAGAGTGTAGTGGCAGCGTGGCGCAGCGCCCGGCGCTCCTGTCCATACAGCTGACACCCATGGGAGAAAAGGGAGTCGCACCTGAAACCCGACAGTGTTCGGCCTCACCGGAAGCCTCACCTCTGGTTTCCTCTTGCAACAGGTGACAGAGCCAAGTGACGCACAAATAAAACCAGGCTGGAGAAAGGGAAGATGGGAAGTATGGGTTTCACCAGCCCAGCCCCACAGCATGGGTGTGTGTGTGTGTGTGTGTGTGTGTGTGTGTGTGTGTGTGTGTTTAATGTAAGTGATTATAGTGATGCTGCAGTGGGGATGGACGTTATATTGTGTAACAAAAGCAAAACAAAAGTTTGCCTCAACTGACTAAAAACATGAATAACTGTGTGCAGCTGGGATTACCTCCGTAATTTCAAAATAAAATATGCTTAAATACTGTAATTGTATATGTCATTTGGTTATTATTGTAAGTATTATGATTTTGCAACTTTAATCTGTAAATGTCTTTTCCCTACATGACATTTGTTCTATCATTTAAATCCTGTTTTAGGACTGCATTACCATTTAATATATAGGCTACAAGATATCTGTAACTTGATGTAAGTAATAATGTTCTACATGGAATATATTAATCATCAATACTCAAACTCTGCCTAATATCCATCTCCTTTTGGTGATTCTAAATGACATGACAAACAGCAAAAACACTATTATTTCTATGTCCCAGTTGCCGTACTTAGTTTGCTTCATAGTAAACATATTGTTGTGAAGAACCAAAGAAGAAATTCAATATACAGGGAACTTTTTCTGCACATATTTCCAATGAAGTTCAGTACATTACAGGTGTTAAAGGCATTGATAAAGATGTCATCTTGTGCTTGTTGGTTTATGCATTAGAGGTTGCAAACTGAAATAGTAGTTTGAAAAAAAGAGTTATTATATTGATATTGAGTTTGAATTGTTTTGGTAAACTACTATTTCTGACGTCAAAAATGAACCTCTTCCTGCTCAACAAACTGCTGCTCTGCCAGCCTTCAAAAATGTGTCATGCATGATCACCACACTAAAGCCCATGAAAGAAATAGTTCATTATTTCCAGCACAAATAGCCATTCCTATCACATGCTTATGAAGGTTGAAGGTTTTTGTGTTAGACAACGGAAAATGCTATACACCGTCACTGTATTATATGATGTTTGATTCCAACGGTCTCAACGTGAGTTAAGTTAATGCGATATTTTCAGCTGCAGATGTTAAATAACTTTGATATTAAATGTGCTATTTGTGTTCTGGAAAAGTGCATAATTGAATGTAATGTATTATTCAACTGTATTTCATGTTTGACAGACATTATAGGACAAAAGATTCTGCACATTAAGGGACACTTCCCTTGATGTCTGAATAGTGAAATGCATTTATGATGCTTTTACAATCTTCCCTTTGAAACAATCCCCTCCGCTCCACAAAGCCAGCTGGTAATTAAGGATCCTTCAAACTGTAAGTTATCATGTATTGATAGAACATTCAGTCTCAATTAGTTCTCATTCAGCTGAATCCAGCAGCCTTCTAATGCAATTTATTCTTCAGTATTTATAAAGGAAAAAAAAAGAAGCCCACTCACTCGATTGATTGATTCACAGTAATGTATGCATAGTGGGGTGTGGTTGAGCAGCTCTAAAAGTACCCCTGCCACCTGCATGAAAAGAGCAAATCAAGCATTCCTCCTTATGTCTCATCACTGTGTGTAGATTAATATGTGGGACTGCAAGAGTGTGTGAGTGCTGATATTTGACAGTCTTGGACATGTTCCTACACTGGCTGTGAGTGGCCTGAGGGAAGCAGGCCTACTAGAGAATGAGCCAGACAGTTGGCAGGGCCCCTGCTTCCGTCTCAGCTGTCGTTGGTAGTCTGGCCATGTGGCTGAGACACTGCTTCCTGTGTCCAAACACTGGAAAAACCTTGAATCTCATGTGCACTAATCCCATTTGTTGGATTAAAATAAAGCGTTTTAATATGTGTTTAAAGGGATTGATGTGACGGACCCCTCATTTGCTCTCGTTTTGTCCCTTACAGACTCTGTGAATGCTGGGAATGCCTCCCGTGCTGAGGAGTTAGTGTTTGATGTGTCGCCCCCATCTGGTCATAAAAGTAACTACACTGCATTCAGAAGATGGGTAGGTGATGGTGCTCAGGTGAGGCCTGCTCGCTCTGTTTCCTCATTTTAATAATGTTTCATAGATTTTCCAGCAGTGTGGCACATCGCCACCCTCACTGATCAATAACTTTGGCCTGTTTGGATCACAGACACCTGTTTGTTCTGCAGCAGCACTGATGCAAAACTAACACTGATGCAAATCTGATACTGGCAAGAAAGCTAATATATTTCTCTTTTAGAGAACAAATGAAAACTCATTTATCTCATAATAGGCCTGTGAAACCTGTGATTTTTAATTTTCTTTCATTAAAATTCAGATTAGTGGGCAAAGTAGGACATTAAAGGTTCATGATAATAATACTTTAGTCAGTGTTTCTAAAGATGATTTACTCCAACGGAAGAAAATCCAGACCCTAACCTGTAATTGAGGGGGCAGAATTTCCACTGGGGGTCACTTTTAAAATACAATTTATTTCCTCTCACTTTTATTTATTCCGATTAATTTACTCATTTTCCCAGTCTCTCTAAACAGCTTCTTCTGACTGTCTAGCTGCTAAAATTCAGATGAGACAAAAGAGAAGGTGATAAAAAAGTGTGACGTGCCCTTCAGTTATTATAGTGTGCTCATGCAAACCAGTAACCTTAAGAAGCAGGTGACTTATTGATCGTCTTTGTTTTGACCTGCGTTTTACCTTTAGGCTACATACAGGCTACTGCCCAAACCCCTCAGAGGCAGAAGTTCTTCCTGCAGCCCGAGATAAAGACTGCAGACACCAGTCAAGGCTGAAAATACTTCAGACTTTCCCTCTTTAGTGAAGATGCACATTGAATATCTACCATTATACCATTGTCTGAGTGAATATTCGATTCTGCAGGGTGTCCATAAATTCCTGATGTGAGTTTGAGTGAAACAGTCTGTTCTAAATCAAATCACTGAAATAAATTGAATGAAAACTGATTATGTAATAAATACATCTTACTGTACTGAGTGTAGTCCTTCAGTGCCTTATCCTCTGATCAACACAGGGTGGCGACTGTAACAAGCTCCAACACCGCCCCTTTGAATCCTGCTAGCTAAGGTTAGCTTTCTGACTATCAGTGGAGCGGACTAGAATTTCTCCAACTCTGCCAAGTTGTATCTAAGGTTTGTCCTTTTAACTGGAGTAAAATAAAAAAAGAAGTGTTAGCGTACAGCAACTTACTTTTGCTATACTACTCTTGAAAGCATGATATGAAATATTTAATAATTTCTATATTGATATACACATGTAAAATGTTGGAAATATAATTCATTATCCACATACTTTTTACTTTTTGTTACCTGCATGTCTGAAAAGTTACGGCCTTGGTTGAATTGATCAAAGGTAAAATCCTGTAATGAAGTCAAATACAGTAATACAGTAATGGAAAAATGAGGCACACACTGGGTGGAAGGCCTCGTCGCCTGCAGTAAATCTAGTCTCAATACAAGACCTATCACCTGACGATCCACTGAAAGGAGGTCTGCAGTCTCTCATTCTGAGACCTGGTCTGCAGTTAATGAAAGTCTAATGTAAGCAGTAAAAATGGGCTGACTGTGATCAAGATTTTACTGGTTGAAGCTGTAAATTTAACACGGATGTCAGCGAGCAAGTGAAACAAACACACAGTATTCTATAAGTGGAGCTGAGAATATGACAAGATCACTGGTAACACTGATAACAGTGGAGCTGCCTTCACTCAGAACATTGAAAGGTCATTGTTATTCACATAAATAGTATTAAGACATGAGTTTGAGTCCTCTTTAAAGAATAAGGGAATCATTATTGTGTATTTTTAATTGTCAACAAATCCCATGAGCAGAAATGCAATAATTATTTTATCTGTCTGTCAACACCACCTGACTCAGCGCAAGCCTATTCTTTCTAGTCAGAAATATTTTAAAACGCCTCAGTAAGTTCCTAAAACATCTGGGTACTGTAGTTTTTAGTAAATGCTACTCAGACAAGAGTTAATAGGGAATTTGTTAGGGACTATTTTCAGTTTTGGATTAATGCAAATGTAGTGCTCTAGTGCAATGATTCCTTACCAGGGGTATGTGTACCAGAGGTGTTCATACTGCTGTTGCCAGGGCAATAACATTGCACATATTTGTCCGTAAAGGAGAAAAATAAATAAACATAGGATAGGAGAAACAGGATTACAAATTGGTATAAGTCTGATCTTTAGTATATATACATATATTGTCACAATAACCTATAAACTACCAGCTATGACAATGCGACGGTACAGGACACCAACCTGAGTCAGCTCTAACACCTAAATATAGTACAGTAGTAGTTACAAACTTCACCATATCTACTACAATTAATTTAAAAAGGAAAAATAAAACACAAACACAAAAGACCAACGTGTCATATTTAAAGGGATAGTTCAGGTTTTTTTAAGTTGCCGTTGTACAATATGAGGTGTTAGTGTATTAGTTATAGTGCAGCTACTCCGGTCTGCTTCTTCAAACTAGGGGCGTGCCGAATACCATCTAATGGAACAAGTTACCAAGTGCAACGGTGTGGCTCATTTAATAGTTTTGAACAACAAAGGCGCTCTATATGAGACAGAAGAGTAATGGCATTCGTTGCTAGCCTTAGCTTGTAAGAACTTTTCAATTCTTACATGAAGACATCAGCCTTCAGACATTAGACTTCAGATTTTAATAGAACGCTCAAAGTCTGAAAGGTAGTGCATGATCAATATGACCACAGTAGAGACATGTTTCAGGTTTATTTGGACATTGCTAATACTACTGACATTACACATTTTTAACCACTTTTTTTTGTCCAACCAGCACATTGCATTAAACAGATTCCCTAGGAAAAATCATCCCCGATCTGGAAAGAAATAAAGACAACCAGCAGGGTTCCGATACTGATTATTGAGGAGCAAAAGATGAAGATATTCAGATGCTAAATATATTCATTGTCAAAGTCAGTAACACTTCCACTGCCTCACTGCTCGCTTCTATCGATTGTCACTCCCAGTGCATTCTGTGCCGTAAAGCTGATACCAGCCAGGCCGGTCACAATTATGAACTGACCTACATGTGCAGTAAGACATCACATCCCAGTATGCCTGTGAGGAACTAAGTACAAGTATATAGTAACAGTGGTTTCAAAACCAATGCTATAAAGTATTTCAGAGTTACAAAAAAGCATTGAATATCTATTTAAATTAAAGATAAGCAAACACTGTAAACACTATTGGTAAATAAAAGGTCGCTGCACATTGTATATATAATAGTGTGTATTCATAAAATAAATTATAAGGATGACAAGGGGGAAAAAGCTCTAAAGGAAGATTTATTCTTCTTACTCGAGATGTTTCAGTGGTCCTAGTGTAGAGGCCTACAGTCAAATAACTAATTTATCCAGAGTAGGATTTATCATTGTGGTAGTGCAACAACAGACTGGTGTGTAATTCATCATATACCTTGAGTAGTTGTATCTTGATTCACTTTGTGAGCAAGCAGAGAGTGGACAACATCTGCAGTGGAATCGGGCTTTGTCTACAAAACAGCACCAGCAGATCAATGTTCTTATGGTCTTAATGCAGCCACAGTGCAGATGTGTGGTTACAGTTTAGGGGCTACAATACCCACAGCAAAACTTATTATACAACCACCTCAAGTGAGATGCATAGTCTGCATTAAAAGGTCCAGTGTGTTACATTTAGGAGGATCTACTGGCAAAAATGGAATATAATATCCATAGGTATGTTTTCATTAGTGTTTAGCCCCAAACAGACAAACCAAACACTGGCTGTAGATGGGGCCATTTGCATTATCCAGCCACCATAGTTTCTCCTACACACTTCACAGCCCGTTCTCATTTCCAGTTGTCAAATACAAACGCGAGCAATATTCAGTTAGTTGCAATTTGCAACTTCACCACTAGAGGTCACTAAATCATACACACTGGCCCTTCAATACCTTTCTGTCCCTCATTTCCCACCTGTGCTTGGTTGATTGACTGATCCAACGTACCGTCCTGTCTTTCCTGTGGGGAAGTTGATTTGAAATGGACAGATTTCACGTTATACCTTAAATTTGATCAATTAAAATGAAAATGGACAAATAGCATTTTCCCCTTAAGTGCAGACATAAGGAACGGCTCTGGCTCAGGAGGTAGTGCATGTCAAAGTGTCCTTGAGCAAGATGCTGAACCCTAAATTTCTCCTAAAGCTGGGATCAGTGTATGAATGTGGATGAGTTAGATTCTGTTTGTGATGAATAGGTGAATGTGGCATGTAGCGTACGACGCTTTGAGTGGTTGGAAGACTAGAAAGGGGGTATATAAGTACAGTCCATTGATATTACAGAAAAGCATTTTGTAAAAATACTATAAATAAATAAAGAAATAAACAAGATAAATCAAACAAAATCAAGACAAAAACATTTTAATTTGAACGAATCTGTCTCCGGAAAATATGCTATGAACTACATTTGTTTACGAATTAAGTTTCAGCGGAAAGTATCGCGCCGTTCGGCACATATTTTCTTGGGTGGGAAATCGCTATATTTATGTGTCACATCTAAGTAGCAAGGAGGTCGTTGCATGATCAAATCCAAAATTCCACAAGTGGTTAGGTTAAGACAGCAAAAGTGCTTTGGTTGGGAGAAAATGGTGGATTTGGTTAAATGTTAATTAATGAAATCACTTTTGACTTTTTGAGTCGTCAACCAACGCCACATGTTTGAGTCGCTACTCGCTGATACTGTGTTGCAAGAGTGGATATTGTAGGAAAACAATTTAATTACAGTGCCAGTGAACATTTAGCTGATACTTCCAGCATAAACAATTTGAGACTTGCCAGGTATGTTAATTAACAATGTTTTCTCAATATGGTAATAGTAAATGTAATCTGGGCACCATTATGTTTCTTTCAAGATGTATATATTGTTGCAAATTAGTGGCATATAAATGCAGTTTCTAGGAGACAGGGCTGATTTCAGGGGTGGCGAGATAATTAACAGAATAGGAAAGAATTAAATTATAATTTGAAAATGGACAATTTGTATATCTTATGACTACTAGTCCTCTGTTCTTTATCTGTTTTTCTTTTTCCTGGATAGTTTAAGCTCTTGGGCCTCTAAATAATATTCGAATGTAACAAAAGAGAAATCAGTCTTTGGTTCAGCAGACAGATAATGAGTGGTCACAAGTAGACATTGCTTCTTTTTAAAGGGTCAAAGGAAAAAATATGAATATTACCTAATGCATGCTTTCTTTACTGGTGGGTCACAACCCATTCATTCTGAATAAAAAAAAACAGCTATTTAATGTCTGACTTTATTTTGACAGAAAAACAGGCTGTTTTCACTTAATATCTGTTAAGAACCCTGTTCTCTAGGCCTCACTTATTTTGTTTGTTGTTTTGCTGTTATGCTGTTTTATTCATATTTACATTCACTTTATGACGTGTTCACACCCTTTATTCTGGCTCACTATGGTGGCATGAGCACAAAATAAATCAATTCTGCTTCAATTTAATTGGAATAAACAGATCTAAATGATGCAGAAATAATTACATCATGATGCAGATTTGTAAAACGTCTGAATTCGTACTTTGTCGGGTCTGTCCGCAAGATGACAAGCAAATAACTTTTAAAATGTTTGCTTTCTGAGTGGAAGATGGATTGATCAGGGCTGGGCTAACTTAGTTCATAATAAAGTAAAACCAATAGTTAGAATGAAGTAACAGACACATGTTTTCAGCAATGTCCTTTTTGTCTGGTCTCTGCATAAATATGAAGTAGTATCATTATAGAGCTGTGGCGTGGCACCCTCCGTGGCTCGCAGCAGACAGGTTGAGAAGAGACAGTGAAGATGAATCCACTTTCTAAAGAGATTAAAAAATAAACTCTGCGGTCTCCTCTTGCCAGTAAATGTCTCCAGATCAGAGCAGAATCCAGTGTGACTACGGTGTTTCTTCCTCCAGAAACTCTGGGT